CAAATAACAGATAATTATTCAGTGGAACTTCCTACTGATTGGGTAATAAATTCTTGCGCGTACTAAGAAATCAAGATCTCGTGCTTTTTGTTTTATTTCAAACGCATAAATCCACGTACTTTTGCGATTTGTAATAATTCCGTTATTCTTGATAAGGAGATATGGTACAATATAAAAAATAGGTATAGAGTTTGTACCATTTCTTCTTTAAGAAATTCTATTCGAATACTGATACTGAATTATTTGTACGATAGGTACATATCCTCAAGAAAATTAATATAGAAAACTGGTAATGATGTAAATACATTTCCGCTACCCTCAATTGTTAAAGGGTTTCAGTCAATTCTTAAAATTAACACAGAGAGAAGGTACTTTTTAAATTAGGTCAGAAATCGATCGATTTGGAAAAGGGATTATTTTCACGACGTACATACCTAGGTAGTTCGTTAGTTGCTAAGATATCACGTGTGAGAAATACACCGGATTGGTTCAAATTAACCTGGAAACCAAGGTGATGATACCTTGCTGAGACGAAATGGGGCACTTCTATTTAAACCGTAGCAAACTTTTTGGAAAAAACGTGGTGGTCATGAAGCGTATGACCTCACTGTCTTTGTACAGTATTCACCAATGCCGGCAATTTGCAGTGTCCCAGATCGAGAAGCATGAGTCATTTTGTTATTACTGAAGATAGAAATTAAGTTAAGTAGCCAATAGGGGCATTACCTAGGCTTTTGGGTATGCACTTTCTGAATTAAGGAAAGTTTCCACAAAATTGCTGCAGAAGATTACCATTAAACGCGGAAGTGCGAAAAATGTCGTTGAGATCAGACTTTCCTTGGTTTTAAAGTTGGGCCTTCTATGGTAAGTATCTTTAAAGGAAAAATCTAGGTACCCAAAGTTCTACTCTAGAATGTGTTATGCTTGTTAAAAAAAGAAGAATCGCAAATTTTGGGACATTTTGGTCCCTCGGCTTATTGAGAAAAATGTTTGTTTTAATTATCAGTCTATATTTTTTAATGAGGGAGTTTCAAGAATAATCTCACAATCTTCAGTATTAAAATTAGATACAGAGTGTCCATATGTAAGAAAAAAATCATTTTTAGCGTTATTATTCTTTATATGTATTTAGAAATTATTTTTATATAAAATGAGCATGTGTGTTAAAAGTGAATGGGCTTCGATAAGAAAATAATTGATAATATTTAGAACAGAAATTGGTTAGAAATGGATAGTTCAAATACTTCAGATCCTACGTTACTGACAAGGAGAACTGGGAAATTAACTACAAGATTCAAACGTAGTGGATGAATTGGAAAAAGATAACGGGAGTTTTGTCTGACAGATGAATTACGAAAGAGATTTATGGCAGTGAGACGTGACCGATAAAGAAGACCCACAAAAAAAGATTGAAAGTTACGCTCATAGAAAAGGGAACTAATGAAGAAGATTTTGTTTATGTGATAAGAAAAGTGTTTTTAAATCACGGCGAAAATAGTGCGGCTTTATAAAAAAGTGGAAGTGGTTCACGATAACGCTTTGGACATAGCGGCAGGATGAAGACGCTTAGACATTCTCATCAGTGTTCCCAGCTTAAGGTTTGCTGCCATGTACGGTATTGGAGTATTATTTAGTCTAATCACCTTTGACCATTGAATACTGAACTTTTGAAGTATACGCCGTCGTTCATTTTTTATCTTACATGGGTAGTAAGATATGATAACATCCCAAAACGTCAAACTTTTCATGTTCCTCTCAGAAACAAATGTAGCTACATTGATTCTGTTTGTCTTTATGATATTAAAAGTTCACAAAATTCTTCAAATACCGCTAGCTAGTATACCAAAATATCGAAGTTCTTCATATTAATTAATCAAAAAAGGTGGAGAAACATCGCTTTTAGCAAATATCGATGGTAAAAAACATGATTAGACTCTGGTCTTTGTCAATGCAGGACTCATACACATTACAATTTAAAAGCAACCATTAATTATTATCCGGGTTATTGACTGTATTTTGACCCCACCCACTCCCACTCCGCTCTTTCAAACTCACTTTCTATTAGGTTTTCCAAAAACAAGTTTACTACATATGTTGTTTCCCTAAGCACAATTTTTTTTAAATTAAGTAGTATTATTTATACAGGGTGCCATAAAGGCAGTACACAGTCCCCAACTTGAAAATGCTAAATGGGACACCCTGTATTTTTTTTAGATTTGTTAGTTTCCCTTTCAAGAAACTAGAATCAAGAATCACCCACAAACTCGGTTTAATAATCATTTAATTAAAAATTCAGACTCATGCACGTACTATCGTGACTATCTTTGCCAATTTTTTATGAAGTTGTCCATTTTTTGCCGGTGCTATCATTTCTAAGAGGTTGTAGGGAAGAACAGGCAAATCTTAGTTTTAATAATAAATTATTAAAAATAAGATTTGCTTGTTCTTCCCTACAACCACTTAGATATCTTTGTCAACTTCAAATCACAACAAAACTAGAATTCTGACCAAAATTAACCATAGATCTATAATCTCGAGCATGCTGACAACATCCAATCACATGCCTTAACAATACTGTTAGCTAACAACTTACAACACAGTTAAGTATGGCATTATAATGCCGGCCGTTAATAAAACGCTGAAAGTAGGAGATCAATCCTAGGTCCATTTTTTTTCTACGTTCATTGGATTTCTCCCATCCAATCTTGCAACTTTTATTTGAAACTTTTTGCGATAACTCTCTTTGTTACTAAAATATTTAAACATTTTAAAAATGGCGGTTTTCACTTTTTTTTAATTATCTACGAAACGATTTATTTTTTTCATCGCATCGAAATTCCATTAGCATAAAAAACTACACAACTTTGCCAATTTAACCAAATCTGTAAGTATAATACCAAAGATAGTCATGTTATGCTACTTAATTTAAGACACCTTGTATATTAAAAGACTGAATGCGTTTCAGCGGCAAAGTTGTCATCATCAGTGAACATGCTACTATATTCATTTGATTTGGGTTGCGTGTTTGACATTAGCCATTCTGAGAAATTTCTAAGGAATGCCAAACACTGCGACCATCGGTAGTTCATAAAAGGGAAGAAACAATACCGACATTTTTTAATGTTATACTTACAGGAACAATAATGGGAACTGCTGGTTAAAGATGCGCGTATTAATTCATAAATAATGATATTAAATTTATTCTTTTGCAGAGGCTTTTATTTGTTAGTAAAACCGCACACTGAACAGAAGGAGGAGACGAAATTGCTTCTCTATCTTTCTATGGTTATTATGTTTAATGCAAAATTGTTTCTGGTTACAAACCGACAGGTCCTAATTTACTTTTAAGCGAGGTGTGGGCACTGATGTCTTATAACGCTCTCTATATTGATTATTCATGGCGAAAAAAACGATCTGCCTTATAAAGCCGTAAAGGTTCATTAGTTATCGATATTTACCGTAGAGGTACCGATGGGAAACCTCACATCATTATTTCTATACGCCGCCGAGAAATGTCATTAAAACATATAGATTTTTGTAATTATTGTGTATAATGTCATTAACGATCGAGTACAGAATCGTCATAACATGACAAGGTAAAATAATTTTCTGGTATGTGTTATTTTTTTATCGCGAACGTAACGTTAGATAGGCAAAGAAACAAGTTACCTTTCTATTACGCCACAGCAGAAAAACTCAACTTATTATGTTAATGTGATAAGAAATCCATTAGAATGACCAGTGGATGCTCTTAGTAAACCAGCACATATGCCGCGTCCGATGAGAAAGCTTGCAACAGATGTTTAACAAACGGAACATCTTTCCATAATTTCCAGAAATCAATTAGTTACCATTATATATGTACGGGCTTTCAATTCCCATATCCTTCAAAATAATTGTCGAAGGAAGGCAATATTTCATGTCAAATTATAGAGGAATTTTTAAATTAATTGCCCGTTTAATTAATAGAACGTTTCTACATTTCTAAGGTTTCGTTAGCGTAAAATGTCATTGGCGGAGGTGTTAATGCAATAGGTTCTTTGTAGCAAAAATTTTCGTTTTCATTTTCAAGCTTGTAAATATTGTGCCTAAGGTTAGTCCCCGGACTTTTTTAACGATATTATTATTAGCAATTATTTGGTCTTTTGTTTTCCAGATCCATAAATAAATGTCCTCCGCGATATTTGCATTATTTGTCTGCTTCCAGATTTTCCGGATGTCAACTAATATACACTACGTTATTACATTAAATAGGATGTCTTAGTTTTTAAATTTTTTTAAATCAATTAATCAACGATATAAATTTGGATTAAATTTGATATATTTACTACTATATAGTCCAGTCATATTAGGGTATTACTTAAAGAACATAAAAAACTATATCTTTTCAGTTCTCATAACTTTCGTCTTATCTCGAACGGTTATCGTGAAAAACTTGAATTAATAATCCCAAAACTTGAATTTTGTTTGATTTTAAGCAGTTGAACACGGAAATTACACTTCATACTGGTTTTTCGCTTCAGGAAATGTGATGACTAAAAGAAAACAAGTTAAAAAGTTATAAATGACCAGAACCTATTTTTCTTCAACCGCGCAGTAACATCCTCGAATCTGAACACACTGGCAGTGCTCCACGAGTAAAATTGCCAGAACTCAAATTAATCACGTTCTCCGGCGATATTAAAAACTTTAATACTTTTATAGATGTGTTTGACGCTTTAATCCACAATAACGCTCGCTTATCTAGTATCGAAAAATTTTCACATCTCTTATCAGTATTAGAAGGAACAGCAAAGAGTTTAATGCAATGTTATCCGTTAACGTCTTCTAATTATACTGTGGCATATAACGCTTTAAGAACTAGGTTTTCCAATAAAAGAATTTTGTCTACCGCTCATTGGAATGAAATAGAAGGGGCACCGCGTTTAAACGGAGAGACCCCGTCCGCATTAAGAAAATTAATTGATACTTTTAATGAAAATCTCGCCGCGCTTCAAAATATGGGCTATCCAGTAGACCAGTGGTCTTTTATCTTAGCACAAATGTTGTTTAAAAGATTGGACATAAATTTAGTAACGCGCTTTGAAACGCAACACGGTTCTACAGAAATGCCCTCTTTTAACGAGCTTATGAATTTTTTGAAAAAACAATGCGTAGCTTACGAATCTATAACTGTTTCTACTCGCACTAATAAAGTCAAATCGGTTAATGACTCTAATGTTAACAATTTCCAAAGTCGTCCTAATAAAACAACCTTTTGTTATAATACAGTTACCAACAAACGCCCCTGCTTTTTTTGCAAAACTGAAGAACATTTAATATATAGATGTCCGGTCTTTCAAAATAAGACGCCTAAAGAAAGGTACTATCTGTGTAAACAGAATAAACTTTGTGTCAATTGTTTGAGTAACCATCCATTTAAATATTGTAAGTCTACTTCTTCTTGCAAATATTGCAATCGTAAGCATCATTCTTTGTTGCACGATAATAATTTTAATACTCAATCGCCACCATCTGATAGAAAACCTCTAGAAACCGCTCATATTTCGAGTCCAACCATCACCAACGAAGAACAGCCATCTGCGGAAGTTTTAAGTTTGTGTTCAATTTTACGTTTACCGCAGCCAAAAGTCGCTCAAAATACTTCAGTAGTTTTATCAACCGCCATTGTCAATGTTAAAGACAAATTTAATAATTTTCACAACATTCGCGTATTAATTGATAGTGGTAGTCAGTCTAATTTGTTAACTGCCAAATGCTGTAAACGCTTGGGATTGCATGCAACTAAAGTGTGTTTTTCTTTAAAAGGAGTCGGTTCTAATGCACTAAAGGTATTGGGTCGCACCCAAATATTATTTTTCCCACATTTTACTAAAGATGTCAGTTTTCACGCCGAAGTGCTAGTTGTTGAAAACATTACTAATTCGCTTCCATCTTGTACTATTGATCATGACGCTATGCCGTTTTTAACCGATTTACCTCTCGCTGACGAACAATTTTATATTCCAAGAGAAATCGACGGTATCATCGGATCAGAAATATTTGGCCAAATTATTGGTAGCAATAAGATTTCCGAGTCGGGATGTACAGCTCTGGAAACCAGTCTTGGGTATATTCTAGTAGGTACAGCTCCGGTGGTACAACCCTTACAATATGCGCAAACTTTCTGTGTTTTTGAAAATACACCTTCAGAAACGATGATCAAAAGATTTTTTGAATTAGAAGATATTAATTTTGGAAACCCGCTTAGTTCAGAAGAAGAAAAATGTGAAAACATTTATCATAAACTTACTTACCGTTCAGAATCCGGACGATATGTCGTCTCATTACCGTTTAAGCATTATCCGTGCGAACCTACATTTGTAAATTCAAAAATACCGGCTTTGAGACGATTTTTTTCTCTAGAAAAACGTCTTATGAACAATATTGAACTTAAAAAGCAATACTGCAATTTTATGCGCGATTATTTAAATAATAATTTTATGGAATTAGCCGCTACTAAAAATGATAACGCATTCTTTCTTCCACATCATTGTGTTTTAAAACCTCAATCAACTACTACTAAAATCAGAGTAGTCTTTGACGCCTCAACAAAAGATTCAAACAACATTTCGCTTAATGATACGCTTTTAATAGGATCGAAACTTCAAAAAGATATTTCCAAATAATTCTTCTAAATTTTAGATTACATGTTGTAGCAATTACGGCAGACATTAAAAGTATGTACCTCCAAATATTATTAAATCCCACTCACGCAAATAATTATCAACGCATTTTTTGGCGCTTCTCCCCAGAAGAAATTCTTCGCGAGTACATTCTAAAAACTGTAACTTTTGGGGTTAGTTCTTCACCTTATCTCGCACTCAAAACTATCAGGCAACTAGTGCACGATGAAGGAAATAATTTTAAATTAGCTTCCAAAATTTTATCTTCAGATATATACGTGGATGATGTAGTTACGGGATGTGATAGTTTGGAACAAGCTTTAAAGTTGAAATCGGAATTAATCTCTTTGCTTCGTCGTGGAGGATTTGAGCTCAGAAAATGGGCAAGCAATAGTAATGAATTTCTACATCATTTACCTAAAGATCATCAAGATCAATCATTTACGTATGGTTTTGAACATGATACCGCTATTAAAATCTTGGGTTTAAGGTGGAATCCACCATCCGATACGTTTTTCTTTTCCGTTACTCCGGTTCATAACGTGTGCTCCAAAAGAAATGTCTTATCAGATCTCGCTAGAATTTATGACCCGTTGGGTCTTTTAACACCCGTAACTTTGATCGCCAAGCTGTTAATACAAACACTGTGGAAATTAAAACTGGAATGGGATGACCTGCCGCCAAAAAATATTCTCAATCAATGGGATAATTATAAAAATCAGTTAAGTAGTTTATCGTCGTTTCAGGTTCCACGTTTCATATATTCAAAGGATGCTGATCATTTTGATTTGTGTGGCTTCTGTGATGGTTCACAAAAGGCCTACGCTGCTTGTCTTTACATACGAGTGGTTTATTTTGATCACATAAAAAGTTACCTGCTTTGTGCAAAATCAAAGGTAACGTCGCTTAAACCTTTATCTATTCCAAGAATTGAATTATGTTCAGCTTTACTACTCACGAGATTAACAAATTTTGTTTTAAACGCTTTTGATAAAAAAGTAATTTTTGAAAATATTTTTGCTTTCACTGATTCAACAACGGTTTTGCATTGGTTGAATTCACCTCCGCATAGATGGAAACCTTTTGTATCGAACCGCATTTCGTTAATACAAGAAAGCTTGGCGAACGCACATTGGTATCACGTGCCTTCCGAATTTAATGCAGCTGATTGTGCATCGCGAGGCTTGTTGCCTGCAGATTTTATGAATTGTAAAGAATGGGTCTGTGGACCTAAATTCTTGTTATTGCCGTTAGCCGAATGGCCTATTGATAAAACACCATGACCTTGTACTACCGATATAAGTAAGGAGCAACGTAGAACAGTGTTTTCAGTTTTCAAAAACATTAACGCTTTTGATAATCTTATTGAGAAATTTTCAGCTTTAGATAAAATTCTTAGAATTATAGCTTACGTTCAAAGATTCATTTTCAATACAAAGTTTTCGCGTAATAAACAAACTGCTCATTTTAATAATTTTGATCTACATTCCGCTTTGTTAGTACTTATCAAACGCCAACAGTCTTTATCATTTTCAGAAGATATCCATAAACTTCTAAATAATAAATTACCTTCCAAACAATTAAGAAAACTAAGTGCCTTTTTAGATGAAAACTCAATTTTAAGAGTAGGAGGTCGCCTAAAAAACTCATTGTTAAATTACGACAAAAAATTTCCAATAATATTACCTCGTTTAAGTCGTTTAACGGATCTAATTATTTTGGATGCGCATATAAAAAATTGCCATCCGGGCTTACAGACATTACATTTTTTGTTGTCACAAAATTTTTGGATATTATCGCCTCGTAGATGTATACGTAACGTATTATTAAAGTGCTTAAAATGCTGGCGCTTGAATCCATCTTCAGCTCAACCACCGATGGGAGATTTGCCAGCAGATCGCATAACTCGCGCAAAACCGTTCTCCGTCGTCGGAATAGATTTTGGGGGTCCATATTTTGTTACTATTGGAAAAACCCGCGGTGCTAAGAAAGTTAAAGCGTACATTTGCGTCTTTGTTTGTTTCGCCACTAAAGCGATTCATATTGAATTAGTCACAGATTTATCTTCAGAAAATTTTCTTTGTGCCTTGCGCCGATTTATATCACGACGTGGTAGATGTTCACAAATAATTACCGACAATGGCACTAATTTTGTCGGCGCTAATAAATATCTTATAAATATAATGAAAAACGCTTCTGAAAAAGAACAAATTAAATGGATTTTCAACCCTCCCTCCGCTCCTCATTTTGGAGGTTTATTTGAAGCCGGGATTAAATCGGTAAAAACACATCTCTCCAGAGTTATAGGCTCGCAATTGTTAACATATGAGGAACTGAACACGGTCTTAATACAAATTGAAGGTTTATTAAACTCGAGGCCACTTTGCGCAATGAGTTCCGATCCAAATGATTTTGCTGTTTTGACGCCGGGACAATTTTTGTCTCTCGAACCATTAACAACTATTCCAGATCCCGACATGTCACATTTAAAGTTAAACCGTTTAGATTGCTATCAGTTACTATTACGCTTACACCATGATTGTTGGTCGCGTTGGAGTTTGGAATATTTACATACTCTGCATCAAAAAACAAAATGGATTGATAAAGAAAACCCTATCAACATAGGCACCCTGGTTTTAGTAAAAGAAAAAAATTTACCGCCTATGCATTGGAAACTAGCGAGAGTGAACAAACTTTTTTTAGGTTCTGACGGTATTGCCCGCATTGCCGAAATTCGAACTAACCAGGGAGTATACACGCGTCCTCTGGTAAAACTTTGCCCTTTGCCAGGGGTGTAAATATCGCCAATAATAATTTAATTGTAATAATTTTTATTTTTTCTCATTTTGCAAAATATTGTTAATTTTTTTCAAAATTGGGGGGTAGTATGTTAAATATAAAATTTAAAATTTATTTTATCGCTTTGCCTATTTTATTATCTCTAGGTGCAGCGCAGAGTGCAGTTTTAAAACTCACTTGCCGAATATTCGTTCAACGATACACACGCCAACTGCATCAAGTTCAATTTCATTTTGTATTAATTATTGTGATACTTGTATACGTCAATTTCACACAAATCCTTTCTTTCCGATCCTTTAATTTGTGTAAAGATCATAAAGACAAAATATTTGGGGGTAAGTCATTTTTTTATTATTTTATCACTAAAAGATTAATCAAAATTACAGTCCGCTTTTCGCTTTTGTAACAGTAGTCATGAAAAGAAACCAAAAAGTGTTAATAAGCATAGGTCCGTAAACTAAGTGTTTTTGAAATAGAGTTGATTTTTGCCTTAATTTAAATATTTTTGTTTTCCTACATTTGACTTAAGGGGCTGAATTTTCTGTGCGCAAATAGAAGGAGGACACATAAAGCATCTTTTTTAAATATTTTAGGTATTAAGAAACATCACTGTTCGTGATTTATTATTTATGTTCAACTTTTGTTTAAACAATTTTTTCGTAATTTAAACGATTAATGAGATATGGTCAAAAAAGCACAGCGTGCACGAATGTTGATTTTTTATATGTTGTTACTGGCCCCTACTGCTACATATACGCAAAGTATCCCTTTTACCACAGATAAAATACCCATTATCTGTGCTTTTACGTATATTATTAAATATAGGCAGTAAGTTTATTAGTTACACCTTGGCAAAAATAGTTATTTACCTAACAAGTTCGGAAGGTTAATTTTCCCGCATGAGCACTTTGTTTGCAGCACGACCGCAAGTGCGAAAGGCAGGAAAATTCGTTCCGAAACAGTTAGGTCCTCAAACCGGATATGCGTTTCCTTGCATAATTGCGCTGACCACATTTTAAAACTTTAACCGCTTTACTTTTTCTACAGCTTCCATTTCTGAGAAATAGTTTGATTAGGTCATAAGTTTTGGTTTCAATATTTACTTAAAACTTAGGTACTTCTGTTTCCGTTTAATATCATTATATATCAATATAATTGAATTTACAGCAAATAATAGTTGACGATGACATGACGTTCTTTCACACCTTCATTTACATGTTACCACTTAGAATCTTCAGAATCTTTCGATTTTCTTACCATCTCCTTAGGAGTGGTACATTTTTCGGCGGATTTTTTTAGAATCTTCAGACCCTAGTGTAATCCTTACAATTTTAGAAAAATGTTTACTAGAGCAGAATCTTTAACTCCTTTAGAGTTTAGAATATTTAGAACTTCTGAAATCTGCCGAACCCAGGGCAGAACTTTTAGTAGAATTGGATCAAAATTCTCTTAGAATATACGATCATCCTGGAATGTTCACATATACTTTTAGAAATGTTAAAATCATCTTAGAGGCCTTCTAGAACCTTTTCAGCATGTTTTTAAATGTTTTCTAGAATCATGAATATTATACATCTAAACTTTTAGAACCTGCAGAACTATCAGATCCTTTAAAAACTTTAAGATCTTCTTAGAGTCTTTTACAATCTTTTTTCAACTCTTAGAAACTATTTAGACTCCCCTGCAATTTTTGTTCAGATTTCCAAAGACTAACTTTCATATTATATTTATCTTCAAAGATGCCCTGTGTAATTACCCCCAGGATAGGTTAGCGACATTCTAGAATATGAATGTTAACATTTTTAACAAAATTGCAAAGGTAATATATAAATACAACACCTATAATTATTGCAGATTCTACAATAATCCGCTCGTCCATTCATAATTTTCTTGCATAAACCGTGACTTTTAATTTCCCCTAGAATATTCTCAGAAGCCCTGCAAGAATCGCTAGACAACTCTACAGTGCGTTAGTGTCGGAAGAGGGTATCCTCAAAGAGAAAATGGAACGTCTGGGAGACACCTACCTGTCGACGGGGTCGAAAATTTAAATAATAAATTTAAAATCTTGAAAACGGAGATTCGGTTTGTAGTGTTAGTCATATCATAAGTTAAGCGTCATAAGTGTTCTTATTATGTGCCTACTTGAGTACGGCTATGCATTAGTAATTTTTTATCATTCAAGATTTAGCAAAGTATAGAGGTCTTCCATTTAAAAAACGCGGTTCATTTCCATATGTCGACAACCCGTGCGGTAAATTCATCTTGAAAAACTCGTCCGCGCCATATTTGCATCGGGGAGGTTCGCCCTATGAAGATTTGCCTTCGGAAAACTTCACCATATTAGTACACTTTCGAAAAAGTAACATTACTATCATCGATACTGCTTCTTGCAGTGAGCGCACGCGACGTCGTTTAAATTTTTAGAATTTTATCCGTGTGTCCCAGGGAGGACGCACCATAGGGAAACATAATTAATGTATGTTTTCGCGAAGGATCCAGCAGGCATTGGGTTTGTATTTAAAGTTAGCGTTAAACGTACGTTATTGCGCTTGCCTGATGCTAGAAAAAGATCGGAGTAGCACGTTGAACGCTCATTTCAAAGACCTCGCGAATCCTTCGCGAAAAAAATACATTGCCATTTACCTATGGTGCGTCCTACCTGGGACACACTGTATATGGAGGTAAAATTGCATATGTACCGCTTCATACGGATAGTAGGCGCGAGTCGTTTTAAAGGCGATAAGCAGACTTGTTTAGAACGCAGTGGCTTAAGATGTGAGCGAAACGTCTGGTTTACGGTGGTTCCCTTGTGCTGAACGGAAAACGCAGACAAAGTTGAATCGTGAAAATCCCAGTTTCAGTTGCAGTATCAACAAAATTCACCTTGAATTAAGAAAAGCTGAGGAAGTATCAATTGGATAAGGAGATCTCTTCGAATCTGGGCCAGACGTAACACAAATCAACCTATATTTTGTGTGTCATTGTCCATTTCTGGAATTTACATGAAAAGTATATACGATCTTTGACCTAGAAAAACTCTGTCTTGTCGACAATTTCTAACGGATCGACGAAACTATGGCAGATAAAACATTTTTTTTTAATTCGACATTTGCTCATTTACAATCTACATCTATACGGAGTATTTAGTAAATGTGTTGTTTGTGTTTAATCTGCAAAGGAAACAATCAGTATTGTTTCTCTCTCTCAGTTGCTATTTCATTGGTGTACTAAGTCCGGGGGCCATGTTCTGTGCAGTCTCCTTGTGGTTGGGCCATTGGTGTATAGTTGGTCTATTAGGTCGTTTGTGTGGTTGGCTATCTGCTTGTTGTACGAGTTCGTTATTCTCAGTATTTCAGCTGTCACAAAGGGAATCTTCAGGTCATTGTGGAGTGTTTGGTTACTCACGTACCATGGAGCGTTTACAATTGCTCTTAGAGTTTTAGATTGGAATCTTTGGATGCTATTTATCGACGACGGTTTTGCGCATCCCCAGAGTTGAATACCGTATGTCCATATGGGTTTCAGCATAGCTTTATATAGTAATATTTTGTTGTTCAGCGAAAGTTTTGATTTTCTACTTAGGAGCCATTGCATTTGTCGGAATTTTATGTTTAGTTGATTTCTTTTGGACTGTATGTGTTTTTTCCATGTGAGCCTTTGGTCTAGATGAAGGCCGAGGTATTTTACGTCTGTTGCTGTAGGAATTCTCTCATTGTTCATCGTTACAGGCGGGCATACTTCTCGTCTCATGGTGAATGTAATTTGCACTGACTTTGTTGTATTGATTTTTGTCCGCCATTTAGTGTACCAGTCTTGAAGTACGTTGAGGTGGGTTTGTAAGTCCGCGGAGGCGTTTATAGGGTTCTCGTTTGGTTGGCGATGACTGCAACGTCATCAGCGAAAGACGCGATTTCCGTGTTGGCAGAGTGAGGTATATCTGCGGTGTAAATGAGGAAAAGCAGCGGTCCTAACACACTACCCTGGAGAACTCCAGATTTAATAGGGTAAAACTTAGAATATTGGTCTGAATGTTTAACAGAGAAGTGTCTGTATGATATATATCATTTTAGGAGTAGGAAGTAGTTGTGGGATAGCGCGTTCTTTAGCTTGAATATTAGGCCTCTGTGCCAAACCTTGTCAAAAGCTTGAGAGGTGTCAAGGAAGACTGCATTGCAAAACTTCTTTTCTTCAAGACTACTGGATATTGTGTTGACAATTCTGTGGACTTGCTGGATTGTGGAGTGTTTTTCTCGGAATCCGAATTGATGGTTGAGGAGTAGTGTTGAGAGATCATGATCTTTATATAGTTTCTTTAGAAAGAGTCATTCAAAAACCTTGCTTGTGATAGGTAGTAGACTAATGGGTCTATAAGACGACGGTTCTTGTGGCGGTTTTCCAGGTTTATGGATCATGATTATTTCTGCGTATTTCCAGATTGTAGGGAAATATGCTAGCCGAAGCATGCCGTTAAATATAGTTGTTAGGAGAATAATGGCTTTCTTAGGGAGGTGTTTTAGTACTTCTCCAGTGATGAGGTCATATCCTGGGGCTTTACGTATGTTTAGCAGTTTGATTTAGAGGTATAGTATTGTATTGTTTTTCAATCACCGCGAATCAAGTATCTTTTCCATTTAAGTGCCCAAATGAATTAACATCTTTAAAGGTAAGGTTATCAATTCTCTGACGGAAATTGTAAGGCGGTTAATTTAGCTGTACAGGTGATCACTTAGAATTCTCCATTTTTATTTTATTGCACAACTGAACGCGCAACTAGAATTGGAGATTTTATTTTGATTATTAACTACCACAAATATATGAAAAACATGATTAGTTTTTTCGAAAAATATATACAACTTTTTGTATTTTTAAGCTTTTGTTACCGACCTGATCCATTATAGAGATTTCCTATGGCAAGGGAGGTTGGATGCAATCAGCCTTTCTATATCAAGGAGTACACAAATTAGTTTTGATACCAGCGATGCAACCCGTATTTTGATAAATTTTAAAATAATTAGTTCAAATTCAAAACTATCCGTTAAGAGTCTGGAATCAAATAGAGGCGAATCTTCCGGTCGATACTTTACCAGGGCGAGTATTATGGAGGTAATATTTCGAAGGCGAATCTTCCGTGTAAGTGATAATTAATTATGAAATAATTAGTACTTTTGCTTACAGTTGCTCCATTTGGCACCGCTGCGAGAAAAATTTTTGTTAGAAATATTATCTGAAAAAGCATACACAATAGAAGAAAACCAAACTGCATTTGGTTGCGGTATCTCCAAAGAATCTTAGCCCTATGACGACCTTTCCCTCGCGAAGTATTAGCTGTAGATGCTGACGGGCACCGACCGCCAATTTTAAAAAAAGGTCTAAAAGGGGGAAACGGAAACTATCGAGGAAAGAACCCTCATTGCCATGATGCCAAGGAATGGCCCTCGACCGAGAATTTCCAACTTCGTATGGTTTACAGCTTGCTACACCAGAGGGTCAGGAACTAGCACAACTAGTATGCCCTTAACCATCCTGACTGTTGGTTGTTACTTTAATTTCAAAATAATAACGATAAACTCGCTTTATGACTGTAGTCGAAGTTTCTGCATACCAGTTGCCAAATTTCATTTACCGCTAAATCATGTATCTATAGGAGGCGGCACAGTCAGGACGAGGTGAAAGGCTATACCAATCTCCTTCCGAATGCCCTGCGCTGACACAAGTCTAAAGGATTTTTATAGTTTCAAGTAAAATTTCTATACATTGTATTATTGTCCTCTTAATTGCGATGAATTTTTGGCTGGTTCAAGTGCAATCTGTAGGTAATATTGATAATTCGATAATATTAACAATTGTATCATATCGGGATCTGCTCTCGTGAATTACTAGTAAACAATTTTGAAATATTTTGATTTTTCAAATTTTTGAATGTCAATTTAAAACAAAATACTATAGCGTGCATTTAAAGTTCAAATGCATTGTGATTCTAACAGATGTATTAATGTTTTCTGTTAACTATTAGTATATGTTTGTGCGTAGCTTGTCAGTTGTTTGTTATTGTAGCTCAAAGTCCGAAATTGATATCTAAGTACTACTCTTATCAAGCGACTAGTATGGTACTCGTATTACGTATGTCCAAACAAACAAAATAATCATTATATCTAAACCTGAGTGTCATATTATTTTCACATCAGATGAACAACAATAGTGAAAAGGCTTTAGGTACTTGATGTGTCACATGAGGTTAGAGGTTTTACAGTCTGCTGTATATCACAGTGGTGATATGTTTAGTTATAGAACCCTATGACAATACTACCACAGATATACGTATATCTGTGCTGTGATACTACATTCCGTTCTCAAGTTATGAAGGGTCGATCGTTTTAAAAGCACCCAGTATACGGTAACTGTAATTGTAGCGCTTACAATGATATTGATAACGATAGATATTGGAGTAATCAGATAAGGCTGTTGCGTATGCCTATAAAGGGTTTACTCATATCAAATTTGATTGTGTTGCTTGATTTTTATTACAATGAAATCTTTAATCGTAGTGCTAGCCTTGTTTTCTACATGTAATGCATTATTTGTAAGTATCAGTTAACTTTTACTCGTATATAAGTTAATTATTTTTTTAGAAATTCAATGTACCAGCGGGATTCATAACATCGTGGGAACGTACGATAGAGCCTTTTAGGGCGGAATGTTTAGCTAAAAGTGGGTTGGACCGAAAGGTGCTATACGATGCATTGTTAACAATGCAGTTTCCCGAAAGCCCCAAGTTTAAATGTTTTGCAGAATGTACTTGGACACATTTAGGATATTACGACCTTATCACGAAGCAAATAAATGCTGAAAAAATTGGACAGGAAGTAAAAGGATTCACAAAAGAAATTGCGGAAAAGTGTTACAATGAGCACAAGGCTGATGGAAATTCCTGTGAAATCGTCTTCTCCATCATCAAATGTGGCATTGAGAAAATGTAAATTATAACTCCGAGAAAATCAGATACTATTACAAATTATAAAGTTTGTTATGTATTTCTCCTAATCCTATTCAAAATATATGCTTTGTTACTTCTCAATTTGTCGTTAATATGTTTTGTTGGTGTATAAACAAGCGTTATTTAATCTGCATTTTGGAAATAATAGTTTGTTGTAATACCCTTCGTTACAAAAAAATTAAATTTTGTTTATATGAATCTTAAATGAGGTTAATTAATGTTATCTGTCTATCGATTGTTACACACTGTCTCCAAGAGAAGGATGTCTATCATAGGGACCCCCAAAAACCATAAGATACGACGATGGTCAAATTGGAGAAAAGAGGCGCAATTAAAGTGTTGAAAGACAAGAAAATTCGGATTACTTTCGAAGATATTCTCTAAAAACTCGAAATTTGCGGATTTCAATTTTATTTTTATAGTATGTCATTTGAACAGATACAAAAAAATGAAAAACACTTACTCATTTCCATTTTTTGAGCTCTGCAAGACACCGTTGAGACATTTTTAATACAACGTTTCGTTTCAAACAAATCATTATCAACTTTATTTTTTTATATGACCCATAAAGTACATACCTACTGTATATTGAGTACTGAGTAGCATTTCTTTTATTACGAATGAATCGATGTACCGCACACAAAGAAACAAAAGTCGAAAACTGTTGGTTTCAATAGGATTGTGCAGCCGCGCACAACCGCCCTAATCGTACTTATCGCACAAATTTCCTGGAAAATGGAAAATTTGTCCGACATGTATTCTCGAACGATTGGGGCGTTGTGCGCGAGTGCACCATCCTGTTGAAATCAACAGAGTGTCCGACTTTTCTTGTGCCCTCCATCGTATATACGTATGCACGGTACACTTAGCTCTATCTGTTCAATAACGTTACCTTAAGGCTTTCAAAAGATTGTTAATATACGAAAAAATTTTTAGCGCAAAAATAAAAAATACGCTATTATACCTGCGCCTGTTCGTGAGTTCGTTCCCACGGCCAGGGGCGGTTTTTAGGGGTGTCTGCCTAAAAATGACTTGGTGTTTTGGATTTACTATAATTATTTTTGGAGTGAGTTTCGCTTTCTCTCTTTGATATTTAGGTGATTCCATCAAAACGATTCTCGTTCCTCGCCTCTCTCTCTCACAAATTTTCTTATCGTTATTTTTCTTGGATTACCTTTTACGTTTGACCTACTTGGATATTTACGCATTACCGACGAGTAAGTGGACGATTTAGCAGTTTTATTTGGACCCCCCGTTTTCGCAAGAGTCAAAAACGACGCGATGATGTTTCTACATTACCGGTTTGAGAATTCTACTTCAGTTCCACCAAACAGTTGATTTTACCTGTGACCTAATTATACGAAGTTTGTTAGATATTTGTTCCGGAATCCTAAATGCAAGTATCACACCTTAGAGGTTAACGATCTTGTAAATTGCTTCAATACATCTGATTTTATTTACAGTACCTGTGTCGTTGCCGAAGAATATACCAATGCCAAAGTTTACTTTATTGTTACTCCGATAATTCAAGTCTTTTTGTTTAACATTGACACGATACTATCCCGGAAGTCGCTCACATCTTTAGAAAAACATACATTGTAGACCAGGATCAAGTGTTCTGTCACCGGCAATCTTTCCTGGCGACAGGTTTATACTTGACGCTGGTGTTGCCATGTTGAAGTCAAATTGGTTCTCTTGACAACGCACACTTTACGTATGTATGTAAGTAGGTACGTCAAAGTGTGACAACTGTATTTACGTGCCTCCGTTAACGCAACATCCTGTCGTCCAGAAAATGGGAATTTTAGAACATATAAAACAAATGACGATTAGATACATTTACGTACTTGACCATCTCAAATAAATTTCGCACGCTTAGCCGTAGGATCGTATAAAACACATCAAAAGAATACAAAATTGAAAATAGTAAGCTAAATAGTAGAATGCGTACGGTAAAGCTGAAATTCCTGATGCTACTAATTAATTGTGGCCATAGCAAAATCTGTCCATAGACAGGCCACCAATAAAAATATGAGGAATGTGGTAATTTTGAAAACATCCCAATCAAAATAATTTGTATAGAAAACAATAAATTCAGTTATTAATAGTTTTTTTTATAGCCGATATATGTATTTGAAACCATTATAACTTTAAATTAATATATTATTTTATTTATTGCACGAGTCGAGAACTATTACCGAATGAAATAAAATTTTATTTATGTCTCTTCTTGCTATTAATTATTTCTATAAATGTAATGGTTGCCTTGATTACATTATCTCAAAGAAATATCTGCCTTGTAAACGTGCCTGATAAAGATCTCATTCTAGACAATAAATTTTGTTTTATTTATAGGAAGAATCTCATTCCTTGCTTGTAACGAATATTCAATATTTATAAGCTAAGTTTCCTTTTTTATATGCACTTTATGTAAATTATGAAATAACGTTAACATGGTATCGTCATTAACATGATCCTCCACGTGCGAAATTAAAAATCCAATATGATGAGTTTGGATGAGATTAATCTGCTTGATTATTAAGATTTTAATATTTAGCACTCGGGTAGGTAACAACTGGTAGTACGTTTATTTCTGCGCAAGTTATCACCGGCATTTAAATTTAAACGTACGTAATCTTGTTCAATCTAGATAAAAATCGTAAAGGTGAGAATGGAAATTTTTCCTGTATTGGCCAAATGAGTGCTCCTACGCAAAACCCGTACCTCAAATGTCTTTAGAATGTAAATGAGAATTTTTACAATAATACCAATACATTAAATTTCATAGATACAGACATGCAATCCATTATAACATTGGCCATTGCTCAATTGCATAACACAAGTAGTACCATACCTTTAGTTTGTGAAGTCTTATCTAACGCTCTGGAAAAATGTTCATCTACTACACTAGAAGCATCACCTTGGTAATGAGTAAACACAACACAGTTTGCAGACACATACTGCGCTCGAGAGTTCGTGTCTTCCGCTTCGTCTCCATCGGGCGGATGTGATGGTTCTGTAAATGAGAAAGATACTATTTAATCAAACAGCAGTGGTCAAACAAAATATTTCATCACATCCACAAACGAGTGATTCTTTCACATGGAATGGTTATTGCAAGCTATAGTTAGTGGTATGGTTTTTATAACACGTGACACGTCCGCGAGTAAACAAATAGCGCAAATTGAAAAACATTAATTCGCCAGGGGTGCTGACTCGTTAATAGTAGGTATAGGTTTTTCTGGAGAATTGAGACAGATGGAAATAATGGAATATATCACATATATCTACGCTTCCATCTGGGCAAGGCAATGTCTGGTGGACAGACGCCAATGTGTGTTCCTAAGCGCTACATTATTCACAGTGTAGACGGTGTGACTCTGCATATCTACATTTAGGAAGCCAAATAATCTGCGAATTATTAAGACTCGAAAAAGTATAGAATCCAGGAAAACCTACCCCATACTATTTATTAATTGTTAAAAATGTAAAACTGGACAGTTGATAAAGGGTTTAGAAGGCACTACATGTTTCGACAGCCATGCCATCATTGGACGACTAATGGGTGGATTATAATTAAATAGCTCCCTAAGTATGAAAGTGCAGAGCAGTGGTTACCTACATGTTGAAAATTACTTAAAATTGATACATTTTTAGAGGCAACACCGCTTGTTACAACCTCCTAGACGATCTCCATCCCAATGTAAAATTTACCCTAAAAAAGGTACCCGACACTCTGTCGCTAAATTTCCTCGATCTAACGTTTACTCATTTTCACTTCTTAATATTAGCTTTTACCAAAAACCACGTTGCCTCCATTGATTCCTTCCACCCTCCACCTCACAAATTAGCCGGGTTCAGATTCTTTTTCAACAGATTTTTAGTTAACCTCAAAGATACTATTAACCTGTGTATAAACTCGCATGTAAAGACTCTTGAACCCCTTGTTTTTATTAAACCCTACTTACTATCTTTAAAGTTACAGAAGGGGTTTAGCTAGAGGACTGTATTAGTCCTTAACGGCCTGTTGAGATCTCTGGAAACCTTTAAGAACTTTAAAATAAGAGTATTTAACAGCCTTCATGAATCACGAAATGTTTACTCCCCAAGAGTAAGCTTTTAGAAGATTATTTCATCTCAGTAAGATTCAGCCTCTAATAACGTTCAAGAATGCTAAAAGGTATTTAAGAATCTTCAGAAGCCTTCAACATTTAAGAGTTAAGGTTATTTTTATCAATATTTGAACATCTTTAAAGGTTGTCAACGGTTTCCAAAAGGCCTTGCAATCTTTGATACACATTTTAGGAACCTTTACGGGTCTTTAGTCTTTAAGCCTTATTGAAAACCGAACTTTTAAGGCCCTTAAAGAGATCTTATGAGCCATTCAGAGTTTCTAAAAGCTTGGAATGTCTTTTGAGAGATTTTTTAGTGTTACCTATTTATACAGGGTGACTAATGACCTTTGATAGAATTTTACTGTGCGAGAGCCTTTAAGAAGTTTTATGAGTTTTTAAGAGGTTTTTAATCTCACGAGCCTTATTATTTTAAGACCTCAAGACTCTTTATTAGTTTTTAACGTCGGTGCTTGTAACAGACCTTATGAGCATATTAAGGTTCTTTACAGGTGTTCAATAATATTTGAGTGCCTCAAGACATTTTAATAGTTTTTATGATTCTTTAATCTTTGGGATTATTCAAAACTCTTAGATTTGAAAAGTTTTCAAGAGTCTTCATATCGTTTAGAATACGATCTAGAATCTATTAGAACATTTACTTTAAAGCGTTTTGGAGATTTTGGAAGTTTTTTTAGAATACCTATTGCTTCAGACGTCTTAGCAATAAATCTTTGAAGGCCTGCCATACAAAAGTAACCTGAAAGTACGAATCCAAGATAAGATTTTTCAATAGAGTGCTTTTGTATTATGATATGGTTGAATATTCTCCACATTTTAAAAATATTTGGAATTATACAGGGTGCGCCTACAAAGTAGGGCGCCCAATTGGTACATTTTTTTAAATAGAACCCCCTGTATTTGAATGCATTTTTGAATTCTACGTGTAATTGTATGTCTTTTTTATTATATGGTTAATATCCGAAAAGCTAGTAATTTTAAAGATAATTCGATTTTTAAAAAAAATTGGGCATTTGCAAGCGTCAGTTATTATTACTTAAATTTTGATTCCAGGTTTTATATCTTATCCTGGGTTAAGTAAAAATCAAATAAATACATCTACTATGAAACATTAAAAAATAGCTTACAGGGTGTTTTTTTGGTAGGTCCAAAGTTGCAAAACTTCATATTAAAAAATCTCTTTTTTAAATGGAACACCCTGTATATTTTTTGTCATCATTTAGCTCCTCCAAAAACCTTCCTTATTAGTTATTTACGTTATAAGTCCGGTAGGTTACTTGTAACAGTACGAGTTAGACATTATGGACGAGGCGACGTCAGGAGCCGAGTCAAGAATGTCTTAAACGAGTACTGTTACAAGTACTACCGGACGTATATCGTAACGTATTTTATTTCATACTGTAAGTCTGTTTTGTATCATTATTTCATTTCAAAGATTACAAAATTTCATTATATTGTAAAAATCGCATTACCTTGTTTCTGTGGCAACGGCCGTTGCTATAGTTTGTAGTTTGTTTACATTGAATTTTTTTCACTTATAATTGCACAAGAGGTTTGTATTTTACCGAGTAAATTTGGGTTGTTTAGGTAATGAAAATCTGTTGCCTAGCAATTAGACGAGAAAAACTATCAACTAATAAAAATGCGACACCGCAGGTGGAGCATTTTTAGGTTGACAGTTTTTCGAGTTCAATTGCTAAAAGGCAACAGATTTGAATTGCAACAACACAAATTTACTCGGTTTAAATACAAACCTCGAGTGTAATTCGGCAGGACAATTTAACGAACAAGAAATTCACATAACTAATCAATTACTGACAGACGTCAAACTAGTCATATGGGAAAGGATAATGCGATAATTGGTTCGAAAATGAATAAGTGAAAAAACCACTAGTGCATTTGTCGCTGGAAAAGTTGCAGGTAACTTTTGCCGCTGTCAAAGTGACAATTTCACTGCGGCTTATGCGATTTTTTATACATGAGTTGAATTGTCACTAAAAATGGACGCTATAAACGTTGTGGGATGTTCCACTGTTCCCGATACAATCCTGTCGAAAAGTTGGTTCCTAAGAAGTCGACCGCAAGGTATGAAAAAGGGTACTAAGTGTTTTGCCAATGGAGGAACGAACATGGAGCGAAACAAGTAGAGGAAAACGTCATGTTGGCATACTGTTTGGATGCAGTAAGTTTTTGAATTGAGATTTTTTTGCCTGGGTTTCGGTGTTAAAGCGTCATGGGGCATGGAAAAGCTGATCGACGGCAGAAAAATACATCGAAGGCTCGGTAGAAGGAACAGTTAAGATTGCCCGTATGATACAACTGATACAAGGCGGCGAAAATTTCATTGAAGTTCTACAGCAGAAGGAATCAAACATTACTAACTCGACATCCAGTAATAACCCAGGCGTTAGTGTTGAGAGCAATACAAATTGTTACATTACAATCAATGTTAATGTTTGAAATAAAGAATTACAGCCAAATTTATGTTGGGGTTTTTAATTAATTGTGTGAAGATGTCAAATTTGATGTATACAAATAACAGTCCGGTAAGTGTTGCTTAGCGACACTTACCGGCTCGGATGCTGTAATAACTCACCTACCGGACTCAAAATGATAGTGTAATCGAACATCTACCGGACAGTATGAAATAAATGTAATTTACATAATAGTGAGGTGGACATGCAAAAAAAAGGCAATTTCTTTCAAACTAAGTAACTCAAGTATGGCCAAAAGACTGAAAATGTCAAATTTCGTTTTCATTTTCCCTCATTTAAACGGTAGGAAAAAGACGGTTCCCATTAGCACATTTTTGGGCACTTTTCGTAGAATCTGAATCTGTTATCAGAATTTCCATAACACGCTAGATGTAGAATCTACAGACTACTACTTACTTTCTTTTTTTTATGGACCCCCCTATTGGATTTTTACGAAATGAGATAGAAGACAAAAAAAAAGAAAACCATTTGAATGCATCGCCATCATAGATATGTTAATTCAGCAAGATCTAGTTACCCGTGAATTTTTCTTGTAAATTGTTGAGTTGTGGTAGTGTAATTTTTTTAATTTTAGTTTTAGTTATTTACTCTTTTTTCAGAAATTTTTATTGAATGTGCATTTAATCATCGATGTATAAACCGGTTAGGTTGAAATAATGCCGACGATGAGAGCGAGCCACCCTGTAGTTGAAAATTTACGTGCTGTAAACGTAATTCAGGTTTAGCATTAGAAGTTTTAGACGGGAATGACAGTACAATGTTTTAATTTATTTGTTTAGGGTTTTATTTAATAGTCATCAATTCCCAAAATGATGCTAAAACTGAGCAAGCTTCATGTTTGAGTTTTGCCTAATCAAGGATCAAAATGGGACAAACGTAAGTATACGTATAAGATTTATAATCACAATTTCTCCCTAGATGCACGTCATCATTACGAAATAAATCGGAAAAAGTTAGGGCGATATAAAAATGAAAATAAAAGTGATTCCTCTCATTTCTTGCCTTGATTCATATATTACAAGGAGTTTTATTCACGATCATATTGTAATAAGCGCCATAAAAGTCATTTAAAAGGATGCGAAAGTTGCATATTATAACACTTGTTTTTCCGGGAGGGAGGGAAGTAGATTCTCGAGGTTAGTAATATTCATTAATCACCATTTAATCACCTTTTTTCTCTCGTTACAGTGTTCGAGCTTAAAATGGTATCAAATTTAACTTTCAGCTTTAAAGTCAAGGATGATGGTAAAATGTCTTCTTTAAAAGACACTAGGTTACCAAAATGCTTTTTAACTGATCATATCTCTGTCGTTACCCGCTGTACATTAACCAACAATGCGTATCAGTGAGCCAAGAGTAAAATAAAAACGGCATTTAAAACATCCGATAAAGGTGCCTACCTATACGTAATTGATTTCGAAATTTCTAACTCGTAAATACAACGTGTCGGTACGACTTTTATGTAAAGCACTTAATCTATTTTAAAGCCAAGATTAAATGTCACATCTGTGTCATACCATTGTTACAATTCTAATCGCTAGCTTATTTATTATTACGTTACAAATGTGTTGTAATGGATTAGCGCTGTACCTAATGAAATAATCGCGATGGATTTTGATCTGATAATTTTTTCCACTGATATGTTGTAGAAGTGTTCTATTTTCGTTGAATGTTAAGTAATACTTTCTACTCTATGTTTGTCAAGATGCTATTTATGGCACTTCTTGAGTTTAGCGTTCGCTAAATGCATGGGTAAAGGGAAGATAATGTAAAAATAGCTGTATACGTAAAGGGCATTCGAAATATTTCTGGCATCGTTTTGACAAAGGTGACATAGGCGAGCGTAACCTTCAACAATTGTCTTTGATGAGAAAGAAAGTATTTGTCCTTCTAAAACTAATGTCCACTATAACAGTCAAAAATTATCAAAATATTCAGTGACGAATTAAGTACCTTTGCTGTCACTGGTCTTTGTCAACACAGATATAGGTATACACCCTTTTTGGAGAGCTAGTGCAAGAGAAGAAATTTGTGTGAAAGGTTGGATTTATAATCATTACTATACACCGTTTAAGAAGAAAGCACATTCGTCGCTAAAGCAGCTGTTTTTGGATAAATTAAGATCTCCAGCAATGCTGTGGGGCATTAATTCGCAGAATTCATTTCTCCGATCGTAATCATTTTCACCCAATTCTTGTGTAGCTTATACCTTGTATGGAGTGCGAACTTGTTCTTTTTCAGAACCAGTCAATTTTGCGTCCATTGGAAATGAAAACGTAGGTATAATTTGCAACAAATTGGCAAAGTTGATACAATGTTCTCGGCTGTGCAACCTTATACTCTGTATACTCATATGTACTCAGGATCGCCTAAATTACCCGAAGGAGCCTATTGAAAATGGGTCAAATCCAATGCCCCCTGGGGTCACGCCTCTCTGTCTCTGGCAAACTTGAAAATGATCAAATCCAGTCTTCAGGAGGATTGATTTTTGTATAATAGCATTCATAATTACTGATTAATGTGAAAAAATTGGGAGAGAAAAATTTTGAACAATACCCGGAACATTAAACATAACCCCGAAATTATTTATATTATACATATTATTGCTCCAATCCCCAAGGAATCTACATGCCAAATTTCAGCTTTACGGCCCAGTGGTTTTGGCTATGCGTTGTATGTCAGTCACTCAGATAGTAGCGGAAGAAAATGATTAAATGCGCTACAGGGGCACGATAACTGGTTATGTATGGCTCATGTTTTCATGACTTCTGGTTTCAACAAGATGGCGCCACTTGCCATAGAAGTCCAAAGTCTTTGAAGTCCAGCAACAATCGTTTTATTGTGCACAAAATTCGGTGAACATTTAATTCGCGTTTTAGTTATGTGTGGATTGGAAATACATGAAAGATGCATTTCATAAGAATATTCAACGCGTAATTCGCCACAACTATGCCAAAATGTGGTCTTAAATTTTGTCAAAAGGATCCATGCCTGTAAACCTGGTCGTAGTATATGATTACGGATATTATTAATTAAAATTGAACCAAGTTTTTGTCCTGTCCTGTCACTGAGCATTGGAAGAACCACATACAGGGTGAAAATTTGGTCTGAAACACTAAATACAGGGTGCCCATTCTGTATGAAATATAGTAGATATATATTTCGGTAAATATCGAATGTATATACAACATTTTTCTATATACAAGGTGTTTCACATTTTATTTCTCATAATAAGGCAGCATTCGGTTGTTTTTATTTTAGAAAACAAATGAGTAACGAAAAACAATTGAATGTTTTTAATAGCAGTGCACCTTTTCATTAGGCTCATTGATAGAAATTTTTTTCTATTTTCGTTGATATAACATGTTATTCTAATTAGATCAATAACATTAATTCAGGTATCCTACATCAAAATAAAACAAATGAACGTGTACGTTTCTTATTGAAGACAACACAAAATGAGCAGTAAAGTCGTTTTCATCGCAATGAAAAATATTCACCATTAACTGCATAACTTATCACAAAAAGCTTGAAATAAAAATTAATTTCTTCTACGGGAGTGTTAACGTGTTACGTCATTGAAAAGAAAAAAATTCAATTGTTTTTCGTTATTCATTTGTTTTCTGAAATAAAAATAATGGAATGCTGCCTTATATTATGAGAAATAAAATGTTAAACAACTTTTATATAGAAACATTGCGTATACAGTCGATATTTACCGAAATATATATCTACTATATTTCATACAGAATGGGCACCCTGTATTTAGTGTTTCAGACCAAATTTTCACCCTGTATGTGGTTCTTCCAATGCTCAGTGACAGGACAGGACAAAAACTTAATTCTTATTTCAAGCTTTTTGTGATAGGTTATGCAGTTAATGGTGAATATTTTTCATTGCGATGAAAACGACTTTACTGCTCATTTTGTGTTGTCTTCAATCAGAAACGTACACGTTCATTTGTTTTATTTTGATGTAGGATACCTGAATTAATGTTATTGATCTAATTAGAATAACATGTTATATCAACGAAAAGAGAAAAAAATTTCTATCAATGAGCCTAATGAAAATGTGCACTGCTATTAAAAACATTCAATTGTTTTTCGTTACTCATTTGTTTTCTAAAATAAAAACAACCGAATGCCGCCTTATTATGAGAAATAAAATTGAAACACCTTGTATATAGAAAAATGTTGTATATACATTCAATATTTACCGAAATATATATCTACTATATTTCATACAGAATGGGCACCCTGTATTTAGTGTTTCAGACCAAATTTTCACCCTGTATGTGGTTCTTCCAATGCTCAATGACAGGACAGGACAAAAACTTGGTTCAATTTTAATTAATAATATCCGTAATATATACTACGACCAGGTTTACAGGCATGGATCCTTTTGACAAAATTTAAGACCACATTTTGGCATAGTTGTGGCGAATTACGCGTTGAATATTCTTATGAAATGCATCTTTCATGTATTTCCAATCCACACATAACTAAAACGCGAATTAAATGTTCACCGAATTTTGTGCACAATAAAACGATTGTTGCTGGACTTCATAGACTACTATATTTCATACATAATGGCCACCCTGTAGATCTTCAAAACAACGTATTTTTTAAATAAGCTTTTTATCGTATCGAAATTATAAATAGTTTGCTACCAATCTACGTACTTTAAGTTTGTGGTCAGTGACGCACTTATGCATGGTCAAAGGGGCTTATTTCCTTTAAATAGTAACCGCTAGTTTTCTTTACATTATTGTAAAACTGTTTACACTTTAACTATTAACTAAGTATAAATAATTTTTAAGTTTATATCTACTTGCTCTATCTACTTACTAAGAATAAAGTTTTTTTTCAACGCAAAATATAGTGAAATTACTAAATTAAGTAACAGCACCATTTTCCTGAATTTTAGTTCTTCCTTTAAATTTGATTATGTAATATAGGGTTTTTTGTTGCTGTATCAAAATAGTGTACTCTTTAAGAGTATGTAATGTAAACTAGTGGCTGCCCCCCCCCTTGCCATGCAGAAGTAGACCACCGACCCCAATTTAAAAATTAAGTAGATTGGTTGCAAACTTTTATAATTTTGGATACAACAAAACTTCTTATAATGTTCTAAGACAACCCTGTATGTGCTCCCCAACGAAATAATCGATGCCACTGAACTGGGGTCCTCTTCTACACCTAGTGTCAGAATCAGTAATTGTGTTCCAAAATAAAACAATAAATAAATTGCCCTCTACCATTCATAGAACTTGTTTTAAGTTCAAAAATAAGTCATTATTATTGATACTCCCTTTATACTTGTTTCGTTTTTTTTTAATTCAGTGTTGTAACAACTGACGTAAAAACGAGGAGCAGGTATAGTATTTTAACTAACTTGGAAATCAGATTGTGCTAGAAAAGGACTTCTACGGCGACCCATATATCGCGTTGACTATCAATAGTGATCGCAATTCATTATTTTTTTGTGTTCTATTGATTAACCAATGGATCAAAACAACGCGATATTGCTTCTGTTACAAGGCCCTTAAGGGCATATGAAAAGGAGGAAGATGCGATCAATCTTGTACAAGGACATAAGAAAGACGAAAGGAATTCTGATATTTGCAAATTGCAAGTTGATTTAAGTGAGCACTCGTATTTTTTGTGGTATGGAATTGCGGGGTGTTTGGTAGTCTTCATGTTGAAATAGTATACGATGGTATGATTTTACTGGAAACAGTCACATTTTGCAAAAGTTAAACACCAATGTACGCATGTATTTCCATGCCCGTTTGGTGTAGGTTGCTGAGGGTGTAAAGGTGGTAAACTGTGGTATGGCCATGATCTAGATTTAGTTCTTGCGTCTAAACTACTGCGGAATTTACGGGCAAAAATAGAAAGTATGCTACAAATGAGCACATTTCCGAACTTCTTGCCGCCTGGAGAGACCTATGGCGTGAAATGTGAAATGAAGTGGTTAATCAATTTGAATTAAACTTCTTTATTTAATACACTTTAGTAGTCTGGAGTTACAGTTTATTCACCCCATCATATTGTGATCTTCTAAAGAAGGAAGGCAGGTGTGCATTACTCGCCCTAGACCCTGCAGCACTTCACTCCTGGCTTGTCACCGTCGTTGCATGACTCACTATAGAAGAGTACAAAATTTGTTAATCATAATCTATATGTCTAATTATGTATCTGATTTTCTAATTTCATGCAACTATTATTCGTAATAATTAAAAAAAAATTAGACCTACCTGCCACCTGTGCCTATCGGACAGGCTCCTCCTTTAGTATGGCAATGGCACTTATCTGCACAGTAGACTACCTGAATGGCCAGCAGCACGATCACAAGAGTGTAAAGAAGGAACTTCATTTTTAAGTTTTTTTTTAAGTTTTAGTATTGCTATTGCTTTACTTACTTGTTACTCGGAAATGCCCACCGTACATTACATTACATTAGAGAGCCGTAATCTTATCAACGTGAAGTTTCAGGACACGTTTCATATAATATCCACCAATCACAGCTCAATGGTGGAAACAACAGCATTGTAGTTTATTCCAGTGATAATAGTCACAAATAGAAATAAGTATCAAGATACAATTGAGGGATAGATCTTATATCAAATAATCCCTACAATTTTGTCTAAAAATGTAGGGAAAACAACATTTCTGACAGCAATTTCCTGTTGAACCTAGTCCTTCGAGCACTTGTAACCTTCAGAGCACAGCAGGGCCGGCCGATGCATATGCGGCGCCATCAGGCGAACATGTTCTTGCGCCTGTCATATTGGTTACCATTGGTATATGGGAGGGGGGGGGCAGCAGTACATATAGGAGACGCTGCGATGGGTGTTGCAGATGATGAGATAGTTTTGCAAGTTCTTTTTTTTTTCTTTTTTTTCTTTTTCGCGTCTCTCTCTGGCCGCCGTTTTTGATTTTCCCAACCGGATGGTTCCTTTTTCTGTATTCTTAGCGCATTTTCTAACGAAGTTGAGTGGGCTATTGCAGCCACTATCTCGGCTCCGTTAACTTAGCACCACCATTTCAAATTTTTGACTAAAGACAGATTGCGCTAGAATCTCTATGGCTAGCTCCAGCTAGCGCCACTTTGAGTTCAGCTAGCGCCATTATAGATTTTGCAGAAAAGCCCTTGATTTTCGGGGGGTGCTATGTTAACGCTAGCACCACCATTGCGTCCGATCATTTCCAAAAGCAAGCGCTGTGTTCGTCAGACCTAGCGCCAGCTAGCGCCACATTTTAGAGCTAGCGCCACCCCCCAATAGTGAGGGGAGCAATTTTTCCTAGCACCACCATTTTGTCTTTTCATGTAAAATTTTGACGTTTTGTGTTCTGCTGACCTAGCGCCAGCTAGCGCCACTTTGAGTTCAGCTAGCGCCATTATAGATTTTACAAAAAAGCCTTTGACTTTCGGGGGGTGCTATATTAACGCTAGCACCACCATTGCGTCCGATCATTTCCAAAAGCAAGCGCTGTGTTCGTCAGAGCTAGCGCCACAAATGTTAGAGCTAGCGCCACCCCCCAATAGTGCGGGGGGCATTTTTTCCTAGCACCACCATTTTGTTTTTTCGGGTAAAATTTTGACGTTTTGTGTTCTGCTGACCTAGCGCTCAAGTTAACCTAGCGCAATTATAAATCCTATCGAGTTTATAATTTTGCGGTGTCTGTCCGTCTGTCTGTTACCACGATCTCTTGATAACGATAACGAATTGACCGTTTACGATGAAATTCTGTAGATGGATTCTTTATCAAATTTGTAGATCGGAGTTCGTGAATTGGCAATGTAGACCAAATAATAAAGTAGGCACTTTTGACATCTCTGTGAGTTATGAACCGAATTGTATGAAATTCAATGTGTGTAGAGCTTTAGCCATATAAAACGCAATTCCAAAAGTTCAGCCTAATCGATCAACATTCACAGTGCTCTTTTCGCATCTCGACCATTTACAAACCGGATTGAAAACTTTCTTATTTATGGAAGCATTTAAAAGAAATTTGATACATATAGCCACTTGGAATAAAAGCAAATTTAACGCCAGTTTCAAAATTTGGTTTTGTGCATGATGTGTGGTGCCAATTTTCTTATTTATGGAAGCAATTAAATGAAATTTCATACATATACACTATTATAAAAGCAAAACTAACACCAAGTTCAAAATTTGGTTTTGCACATGCTGTAGGCATACCCAGGAGCTCGTTTTCTATATTTATTTACACGCCGATGCGAAAAGGGCACTGTGAATGTTGAGGCTCAATTTTTGGAATTGCGTGTTATATAGCTTAAGCTATACGAATTTTGAATTTTATGCCATTCGGTTCAAAACTCACGCAGATGTCAAAAGGGCCTTACTTATTTTTTGGGATACATTACCAATTCACGAACTTCGATCTACAAATTTGATAAAGGATCCAACTACAACATTTCATCGTAATCGGTCCATTCGTTATCGAACTATTGTGCTAACGGGCAGACACCGCATCTGGGATGGTCAAACTCTTTACCTTTTTTAAACCCGAATGTGCAAATCTGTCCCTCTTAAGGTCGGAAATAATAATCAAATTATTTCAATTTGAAATCCTTTACTTTTTGGATTGATCGTTCTGTTTAAAGTAAAAAGTTCCAATAAAAATACTAAAATTTGTATATAAAGTAGCAATATTGTAACCCTTCATTTCGAAGTAAACTGACGGTGAGGAATGCAGGTAAGGTACAAACTTACTTAAATCCTTTATGAATGCGCAAAAGTTGTAAATTATTTGTCACATCAAGGGTTTACAGGCGCGTCAATTGTGTGAATGTTGGTAAATCTGAATTGTTAAAAAACACCTTTAGATAGTAGTCGACGTGACATAGGTATATATAATTTATCGAGAGCAAATACACGAGAGCTTGATTTTTAATCGCATAATTTTATTTTTACACGAAAGTTTTGTTGCAACGGAAAAAACTAGAAACCAAAAGTGTGATAAAATCGCGACAGTTTTAGCTGGAGCGATTTTATTAATATTATGCTTTTGATCGAGAGTTTTTTCCAGAAGACAACAAAATTTGAGTGAATTAAAAATAAAATTATCCTGACCAAGGTCGAGTGTATTTTAGGGAGATTAATAAAAGACAGTAAATTTTACAACCACTACACATTTTACGTATTCCTACACGCATTTTTATCGCTGTAAAAAGCTACCTAGCGTTTAATCAGATAAAAAATCATCTGATTGGTTAGAATTTGAAACAATCACCTAGCTGATTGGTCGTATATTAATGGAGTGTATTAATCATATAAAATACATATGCCTTATTTGCACCATAAAAATTAGTTAGCTACGGAAAGTATATAAAAAAGTAAAAAAGTATATAAGAACTGCTTCTTTTTTTTTTAGCAGAATTAACAAATATGCTGATTGATTTAACTACTTTATATAGGTTATGAGTAGGTACGTTCGTTGAAATTTTCAAATTTTGCACTGCGCTGTGTTCTAAACGATTTAGCTGGCAATACTGTGGTAGTGAAATTAATACTGTGACTTACAAAAAGAATTGTTTAGTGAGTAGAGCACAAAACAGAAAAATTTCACAAGAAACAGTACCTAATATGGAAATTTTAAAATTAAAAATTCATAATATAGTACGGTGCAATTAGTCGACAAAACGGCTTAACCTAAACATCAAAAGTAAAAGTTTCCCATTAACTGCAAATTGTTCTATACAGTCCACATATTGTTTGGTAAAAAGTTACACCAGTTGGTAAATTAGTAGTTTTTGGTGTTTTTCTTAAATATTTAGAACACTATGGGGTTTGGCGAGAAAAGTACCATATCCAAAATAATCTACATAAAATTGTGAATAAAAATGGTCTTGTGTATAATCTTGCTCAAGTCAATGATTCCAGAGTTACGGAAGGTGTAAAAGTAGGCATTTTTCGTATTTTTTCGAATTTCTGGAAAAATGAAATCATGTTTGAAGTAAAGAACTCTGAAGATCTGGCTTGTTTTCGTTACCATTGTTACTTGCAAGCTATTTCAAAGCATCCTATACATTCACTGTTCAAGTTGGCTGCGCTTCTCCCCACTTCAGCAGCTACCAGGTAGAACATTCATTTAGAACTTACCATCAGGTGCAGCGGTGGCTGCATGAGAAGAAGAACCCGATGAAGTGGGAATGCAAGATTGCGTCGAACACCTGAGAGCAATAACAACACATCCTGCAACTCCCCAGAAATTACTGTCCCTCATAGTGGAAGTCTCTTGAAAAAATGGCCCCCCTTGAGAAGGTGGTAAGGTTATCGTTCCTTCAAGGACTTATCAGTAACATACCACCGGTCACTAAAGCTCAATTTGTTTTAACCGGTTTTAACAAAAAAAATAGTTTCCTTAGTGATAATCTCATATTCTTTCCAAAAGAATCTAAAAAAAAGATGAAAAATTTCTACTGTTACACCCTCCGTAACTCTGGAATGGTTCAATTTAGCAAGATTATATATGAGGCCATTTTTGTTCGCAATTTACTGTAGATTATTTATTTTATTTCGCGCTAAATAGTATAGTTTTTTTAATATTTAAGAAAAACTTATCACAACTACTAATTTTCCAACATTTACTTTTATTCAAAGTGGCTATGTGTCAAATTTCATTTAAATCCCTCCATAAATAAGAAAGTTGGCACTGCGCATGCGCAAAATCAAATTTTGAAACTAGCGTTATATTTGCTTTTATTCCAAGTGGTTATGTATCAAATTTCATTTAAATCCTTCATAAATAAAAAAGTTTGCAATTCGGTTTATAAATGGGCGAAATGCGAAAAGAGCATTGTGAATGTTGATCGATTAGGCTCAATTTTTGGAATTGCGTTTTATATGGCTAACGCTATACGCATATTGAATTTCATGCAATTCGGTTCATAACTCACGGAGATGTCAAAAGGGCCTTCCTTATTTTTTGGGTTACATTGCCAGTTCACGAACTCCGATCTACAAATTTGATAAAGAATCTCGTGAAGAATCCACCTACAAAATTTTATCGTAATCGCTCCATTCGTTATCGAGATATCGTGCTAACGGACGGACAGACGAACAGACACCGCAAAATTATAAACTCGCTAGGAGCTCGTTAATAAATGATAATTTTCTTCCATGGGGATCGTGGTCCCCATGACACTGACTGACCGCGTTACCTGCACGTTGTATGGCAATACTTAAATTTGTCGTAAGTAAGTGGTAGCTCGGGGTTCCCAAGTAGGTAATATTGGTAATGCGTTTTCCCAGGTATTCCACAAAATTTTCGAGCTTCTCTACACCAAGGTCCCAATGTCTCTACTGCGAAAGGTATAAAAATATGGTTCTGTTCTATAATAATTGAACTGTATTTCCTTATTTTAATACTTGCCGCAGATTCAGCTACC